GAAAGCGGATTACAACAAAACAACCGGATCCTGTACACACCCTCTTTTCTGAGGCTTCCTCACGAAAATGATGAAAATGTAGCTGCGGCCTAGGCGGCGCAGGGGGGGCGCGCACCAGGGGGCCCAACAATAATTATTCTTTAGAATAAATAATGTTCAAACCAACAACAACAACACCACCAACACCAACAACAACACCGACAACACCAACACCAGCAACAACACCAACAACAGCAGCAACAACAACAGCACTAACGCCACCACCAACAACAACGCCAGCACCAACAACACAGCAGCAACAACAACATCAAAAACAGCAGCAATATAAACAACAACAACAACAACAACAACAACAACAACAACAACAATCATTTTACCCGAACGCGTGGTGTTCTCCCCAGTGCCAGGGTTTTCATACGACACCAGGCAATACCCCCACTTCGTGGGGGGGCATTACAAGCTCTACCAAATATCCAAACGACTCTTCGCGACCACCCAAACCCAGCTTCCCGCCCTATGACGTTGGGACACTTCACTTCGTGGCGTGCGGACGACCGTGGCTACTACACTGGCGTGCGAACCCCGTTGCAAGAGCGTGCGAAAGTAGCTCGCGCGAGCTCATGTAACATAAATGTTGGAAAACCATTGGTTGTTTTAGGATTCGGACAGCGCGCGCGGGTGGAAATTTTGAAAAGTCGTGCAGCTGTTTTTCGAGGACCTACGGTGCGATTCGTGTGATTTTATGATGCGCGGTGCTAAAATTCTTAAGAACCCAATGGTTTTTGGAGATTTCGGCGTGCGCGCGCGAAGAAAAAACGAATGTGTCCCGCATGGTATTATTTGACAGGGATGATGGCCCTGGCAGGTGCGCAACCGTTGTCGCAGAAGTTCGAAAAAGTTGCTCGCAAAAGCCCGTTTGACAGAAATGTTTAAAAAGTGTTGGTTTCCTACGAATCCGCAAGAGCGCGCGGGATGAGATTTTGACATTTTTTTGTTGAAAAACCATTGGTTTTTTGATGTTTTTATGTTAAAATCGCTCCGAACACTAAGCTTTTGGAAGGATTTCGTCTTGCGCGCGCGAATGTCCACTTTACCTTATTTTTTGCAAGGGATTCTTGAAATTTGATTATATTAGAACAAGAAATGTCATTTTATAGTGTTTTTTGCAAGGGAAAACGGATTACAACAAAACAACCTGATCTGGATGACATCGAATTACCTGAGGCTTCCTCACGAAAATGATGAAAACGTGGCTGCGGCCTAGGCGCGGCGGGGGGGGCGCGCACCAGGGGGCCCAACAATAATTATTCTTTAGAATTAATAATGTTCAACAACAACAACAACAACAAGCACACCACCACCAACAACAACAAACGCAACAACAACAGCAGCAGCAGCATTAGCAACAACAACAGCAACAACAACGACTTCATCAACAACAGCAGCAGCAACAACGCAACAGACATAATCCTCACCACGGATCCCCGCTTCAGCCACACACCCAGGCACAATGAGTGACCGTTTGGCCCCTTTACTCTGACCAGGAGCATTCAAGGGCTATCCAAAACAGTCGGACGCATCTCCCGGCTGGCAGAGACCCCAGAGGCAGCAACGCTTCCCGCGAGCGCCCGCGAGGGCTCCACGCTGCGCGCGCTTACAGGAACCCAGCGCGGCTGCCTCACTCTGCAGCCAGAGGGGCTACATCACGGCGCCCTGGCCTCCACGGGCCAGAGCTCCTGGCCAGAGAGGCAGCCAAGCGCTCGGCCGCAGTCGGCGCCGACGACGGTCGCCGGGCGGACGCTGGCCAGCGGCCGCGACCGCGGCAGCGCAACGGGCGCGGGCGGCGCGGGCGCGGGCAGCTGCTGCGCTGGCGGCGCGCGCTGAGGCGGGGCATCAACGCGGACCGGCGCCCTCGGGCCCGGCAGCGCGTGGCAGCGGGCAAGCTGCAGAGGCCTCGGCGACGGCATCCGCCAAGCGATCGGCCCGCCCGCCCGCCGCGGGCGCACAAAGCCGCCGTGGGATCGCAGAGCTGTGCCGGCGCTGGCCTGCGTGTCGCGCCGTACTGGTTAGCAAGCTCCGCGGAGTGCTTTCGCAGCCGCTGCAGCCGCCGCCGCCCCTCGCCCTCGCGATAGAAGTCGTAATCGCCGCCAACGCGCCTTTACCCCCACTTTGCCGACCGCATCGACCGGGGAAACGCAGCGCTCGCGCGCTCGCGCCGTTCCACAGCAGCTCTACCCAATCCTCGCCGCGCCCGAAGCCCGAAGCAAGACTGCTATGCGCAGTGGTGATGCGGGCGCGCGACAGCTGTTCGCGCATTTCAGGAATCGCGATGCCCAGACGCACGCCAGTTCGCGAAGTGCATCGACGGCGACGCGACGCGCGCGAGCTGGCTCCAGCCCTCGCCAGTCCGCGTCGAGGGGGCGCGGGGCATTGCCGACGGGCGTCCGTCGAGCGCGGCCACAGAATCGAGCGCGCTAGTTTTTGCGCGCGGGCTCTGGCAGGCAGGGAAAGGGACAAGTCGGGCGGGGCGTCAGAAAGTGCGACGCGACGCACGGTGGGCGGCTGACATGCGCCGGGCTGTCGGGCCCAGCAGCGCCAGGCCTCCGGTCTCGACCAGGTGCCGCGCCCTCCGCGGTGGAGCTGCGCGCGACGACAGGCGCGCGAAATCTGACATAGGCGCGCTGCTTCGACTGCAGAGTCCCGAAATGGCTACTCCAGAAAAATTGCTCGAGTAAACGCGTTTGATGGCCATGCTGCGCACATCTGCTCCTGCCGCGCGCTGTTCTTGCTCTGTCGTCCTCGTGCTCTGCTGTAACAGAGGAGGCCGCGGCTTAAACTGACCCCCCCCCTTCGCATAATTCCGCCCAAGAAAAGCCGAAATGTAGCCGTGCCCTGTGGGCGAGCAGCTTTCCTGCGAGCGTGGCTTTTTTCATTGAGCGAGCAGCTTTTCTGCGTGCGCGAGTAGCTAGAGCTTCGGCGCGTTTGAGTGTCGGGCGCGCCGGTCTGCTCTAGCGCAGCCCGTGCGAGCTTCAACCCGATTCGACTGCGGATCTGTGCGTGCGCCATCGCTCCATGATGCGTTCTGCGAGCTTCAGGACATGGCGTGTTTTTTGTTGTCGCTGTGATGATGCGCGCGCCCCGCACGGGCGCCTTCGTCTGCCCTGGCCGATTGGGTGGGCACTGCAAGATCTTGCAAGGTTTAGGGGTCTCTCGCGCTTTTCGTCGGTCCGGGTCTCTTCGCGGTTTTCGCGCTCACGGGCGTCCAACGGGATCGCCCGTAAGATGCAGGTGGCGCGCGCCTTTCCCCCGTTCGTTTGTTGCTATTTTGGTTGTGCGGGAAAATGACAGTCCGTTTTATTGCAATACAGGCACATAGAAATCATCAGCAAAAAACCTTCCCGCTCATCCCGCGCCCTTGGACTCCCTCCCACGGCAATCACCCCCCACAAGACCAGCCCAAATATGCACTTTGATGGCGGGGGCTTATGTGACCCCGACGTCGGGTTCACTCATTCGTTTCTTTGCCATGGCTCCTCCACCCTTCATCCCTCCTTGGTCCTCCCTCCTCCCTTCTCGTCCCTCCCTCCTCGTTCCTCCCTCATCCTCCCTCCTCCCTCCCTCCTCGCTCCTCCCTCCTCCCTCTTCCCTCCTTCGCCCCCCTCCTACCTCCTTCGCTCCCTTCCTCGTCATCCGAACCATGGATAATCTTCAATGCCAGACAACTCGATTGAAGGCCATTCCCAGTGCTCCCATAGCATTTTGGCCTCATGTTTGCCTCGCCTGCGCCTCGGCTGTCCCGCGGCTGTCCCGCGGCTGTCCCGCGGATGTCCCGCGGCTGTCCCGCGGCTGTCCCGCGGCTGTCCCGCGGCGGGCCGCGGCTTTACTGGCCCGGGCCGCAGCTTTATTGCCCGACGGCCCGCTTTGCTTCGGCTGTCCCGCGGCTGTCCCGCGGCTGTCCCGCGGCTGTCCCGCGGCTGTCCCGTGGCTGTCCCGCGGCTGTCCCGTGGCTGTCCCGCGGCTGTCCCGGCGCAGTCTGGCGCTGTCATATTACACTTGAACATGTGTTTTCGGTCGCCAATACCAGCGGCACGCGGCACTCCGTCCGGCCCCACACAGTCGGTATCATCATTATAGTTGCATTGCTGCCTGCGGACACTGCTCGGAACAACGAGAAGGCGACACCAACTTGTTCATAGTATTGTCATTAAAGGAGTTGGGCTTCCCGGGGGCCTCCTGGGGGAGCGCCGTGGCCACTTGGAGCCGCCTTGGGGCGGCCGCGGGGCATCTCGGAGGCAAATTGGAAGGTATCTTGAACGACGTTGGGTGCTCATGAGTCATATTTGAGGTCATCATGGGCTTTCTGGGGCCGTCGCGGAGCCATTTTGGGCCATCTTAGGCGCTCTAGCCCATCGCGGGGGAAGAGCTTCAGACCCATGGTTTTAGGAAGAGGGCGACGCATGGGGGGGCAAAACGATTCCCTGAGTCCATTCACGCCGATCGCTTCCAGTGAAAGTTCATGTGCGCGCCATTGTATTCACGCACGCGTTCTCGTGTGTGCGTGTCGCGTTTTCTCGCGCGCGCATGCGTTTCCACACTGCCCTCCAATTATTGGCCATGTGTGTCTCGCCGTTTCGACCTACCGACGCCTGTTCTTACTGATGTTTGTAAGAGATCACATGCCCCGGAATTTCCTACACCTGTTCAACAACCAGGGCATGCATTCAATTGCACATGCACATGCCGTTTCACACCGAGTTATATATGCCCGGACTTGCGTGTGCATATTGTGCCGTTTCGGCGCTCTCTTGTCGTTCGCCCTCCACGTTGCTTTCCTTTTCTGTGTCCGCCAGGTCCGTGACCGTGTCTGTTCCTGTCAAGGATGTAGTTCCTATGGATATCCCCTTCGTGGAAGATCGTCCCTGTGTCGCCGACATGCTACCCCGTCGCTGTGCTACAGCAGTGCTGCAGCTGCGCAGCCGTCCTCAGTCGTGCTGCTGCGGCTATGTCGCGGCGTCCCGCGGCGATGCCGCCTCAGAGCCCGCTTTGCTTCGGCTGCCCCGCGGCTGCCCCGCGTCTGTCCCGCGCGCCCTTTTCAGCGCAGGGCGGGGTCGCCTCAGCAACATTGGCTCCGACATGCCCCGACCAGTCACAATGCCCGAGTCTTCCGACAATGCCAGCAGCCCCGCCACTTATCCCGGCTGGCCTTTTGCCCTGGTGTGTCGAAAATGTCGCCAGCCGCCCCCAATTTCGCCTAGCCCCTGCTTGCCCCCCAAGCCCCATGCGCCCTCCTCAGCCGACAATGCCGATGGCCGCCACTAGATCCGACTAGTCCTCACGTGCGCCCACCAGTCCTAGCTGGTAGCCGCTACTAGCTGCAAACAGCACCTACATGGTCTGCCGACGATGCCGCCCCTACTAGCCCCAGTGCTCTGGTCTGCCGACTATGTCTGTAGCTGCCCCCTTGACCTCACTGGCCCCAACAAGCCCCATCCGCCCCAACGCAAGTGATCTGCCGCAGTACTGATAGGCGTCACTATCTCCGACTCGCCCAAACCAGCCCAAGTGCCTTGTCTGACAGGGCGACGAGATCTATACATATCCACTGCTCCCTGGCCAGGCCTATCCTGAACCCGCCAGCGGTGTATACGCCACGCGCTCCTGGCTTGGCCAGGAGGGCGGATACACAGCTGCTGGTTTCAGGATGGGCCTGGCCAGGGAGCAGTGGATATGTATAGATCTCGTCGCCCAATCTGATGGCAATGCCCACAACAGCCAATAGCCCGACTGCCCCGACTACCATACACCATACATTTCCGTGGCGAACGCGCTGGAGTCAAAATCCTTTTCGGGCCCGCTAGCTCGAATGCTGCACTTCGCTCCTCGGCTCGGCCGAGCGAGGCTGCCCGCAGCGAGGCCCTGGCGCTCAAGCGGCCCTCAGGAGACCAGTGCGTGACCGACGGGCGGTCTGCACCAGGGAGTAGTCGGCACCTTTGTGGGCCCCGGAAAGGGCAGGGCCGTTTTTTCATCGTTTCCAAAAAAATGTCCCTTGAAAATGGAAACGGCAAAAAAACGGCGACCGGAAACAGCAAAAAAACAGCTCCAGGATTGGAACCGGAGCCGGAACCGGTCAAAAAACGGCGACGGAACCAGAAAAAAAACGGCGTCGGAACCGGCAAAAAAACGGCAAAACGGAACCCGTAAAAAAACGGCCCTGTCGTTTCCAGGGCCCACTAAGGTCGGCACCGCTGAGCACGTCCTTCGCTTTGCCCAGCGCGTCCACCTCGTCCGCGCGCGCAGCTTTGCGCACATCGTAGTCCGCAGCCGCGCTCCGCAGCGAGAGGCGTGCGCCGTGCCCCCCTTGTCCTGACGACACGGCGGCCCTTGCGAAGCAAGCAATCTCAGGCCCCGCAAGGGGACGGACGACAAGATGCATCGACGTGCAACACCCGAAGAGGCCCCAGGACACACAAATAAACACACACAAATAAGCATATTCCCCATATTTTCATATATTTTCTGGGTTTTTGTCTTCCCCCCACTTCCCATATTTTCCCATATTTTCTGGGGAACCGACGATTAATTGTATCTGAGTGTTTTTGTTCCCTCCTGAAACACAGCGGCTCTTGCGAAGCAAGCAATATTAGGCCCCGCAACGGGACGGACGACAAGATGCATCGACGTGCAACACCTTTGTTTCAGAAGAGACCCTCAAGGGTCAACGCAACAACCCATTGAAGGCATAGCCGTGCCACGCTGCAGCGCTGCTGCGCAGCTTCCCCAAGCGCGGTGGCGGATGCCCGCGGCAGCGCAGTTGGCTACTTCACGAGCCAGTCGCACTCGCTGTGCAAGTTCATTAGGACCTGCATCGTCTCCATGCGCTCCGTCTCGAGGTCCTTCTTCTTGCCGGCCTCCACTTGCAAAGACTCCTCGCCCTCGGCCTTGGCGGCCTCCTTGTCGGTGAGAGCCTTCGAGTCCGTCGCGCGCTTGTTGCCGGCGTCGCTCATCAGCTTCTCGTAGTCCTCCTGGGCGTCCTTCTCCTCGGTCTCCGCCTCCTTCATGGCGACATCGGTGTCCGTGACCAGCGTGTCGAGCATGGCGATCACGCCGCCCGACTCCTCGCTCTTCTTGGTGTAGGCCCCGAACGTCTCTGGCGGCGGCGGCGGGGCTGCGCCAGTGCCGCTCTGGGCCCTGTGCGCCCGCACCTGCGCGAGCTCCTCCGCGGGCTTGTACAGCTTGGGGTTGGCCGCCGGGCCCTGCTTGCCAGGGACACCGAGCCGCGTGAGGGGATCCAGGAGGAGAAGGAGGAGGAGGAGGAGGAGGGAGGAGGGGAGGAGGAGGAGGAGGAGGAGGAGGAGGAGGCTCCCACCTGTTGCGGGGGAGAGATCGCTCTGACTCCTCTTGGGGTCAAGCACGGCCCCTGCATGTCCAACACACCCTCGCTGGGAGCTGTACTGGACACGCAGGGGCCGCGCCTGAGGCTCTCCCAGTGGTCAAGAGATCAAAAGGGACCACCACCACCGAATTTCATGGGGCCGATCCGTTGGGTCGGTTCCTCTGCAGGGGTCAGCCCCATGGAGTCTCGGTGGCGGTGGTTTCTGTTGCTCCGCTGAAGCGGCAACTGGAAGACGCTTACTGTGAACGCCAAGCGTCTTGACTAGAACTTGTTCAGGCGATTCTTAGCGAACAGCAAGATCTCTTTGGCGGCCTTGTTCTCCTCCATCACCTGCTGGTATTCTGAGTGTTGCTCCTTGCGGAGTTTGGTGGCCTCGGCCACGGACTTGTCGAGCGCGGCGATGCCGGCCTTGAGGTCGCTGATTTCGGAAGTCCAGGTGGCGATCGCGCCCTTAAGCTCCTCGATGGCAGTGCTGGACACCTCGATGGAGCGCTCCAGCTCTTTCTTCTGGTCCTCGGACTTGTCAAGCTCGGCCTCGCAATACTCGCGCTTCTTGTCGTCGTCTGACTGCTCTGTCTTCAGATTCGCGATCATATCGTCGATCAGCGCTACGACCTTCTCGAACCCAGCTTTCTTTCCCTGGATGGTGAGGGGAAGAGAATGGAGAGGAGGAGGAGGAGGAGGAGGAGGAGGAGGAGGAGAGGAGGAGGAGGAGGAGGAGGAGGAGGAGGAGGAGGAGGAAGGGGCGGAGTGGACATGGCTGCCAGCTGAGGAGTCACCTGCACAGGGGGGCAGACTGGATATCACTGGACAGAAAACATCGCGCACGTTTTGCGCGCGCTTAAGTGCTACCGGCATTGGGGCCTAACGAACAGCGCGGAATAATGCCACCGCCAGAATATACGCAACGCAGGTGTTCGAAGCCAACGCGTTCGCTGTTGAAAACTGTTGCTGTCTCAAGGGCTCAGGTTTGGGTGAGGGCGAACAACTGAATCCACCAACCCCAGCTTGCCTGGTGTGAGAAGGCAAGTGATATGTTTGGCTGTACCCTTCCCCCTTTCCCCCTCAGCGCTAAGGTGTCCAGAGTCATACGCCACCCAACTGCCATTTGCCGCTTGACGGGAGGGGGATCCTGTCAACCGAGCGAACGGCACATGATATACCGACTGTGACAGGGTGGCCCCCCTGTCAGTGGGGCCATTGGGCCCAGGACGCCATGCCTTGACACGGCCATTTGCTCGACTGTTTGACGAGGGGGGGCCCTGTTAAAGGGGCGGACGGCAGGAAACCATGTCACGGGGACCACTTGGGGGCAATTTGTCCCTTGTCAAATGGAGACCCCCAACAGATCGCAATCGAGAAAGCCCTGAAACCGACCCAACAGAACCTGCAGACCCCCAGTAGCTCGCATATTCTCTAACGGCGCAGGACTCTCCCCAGACGGGCTCATGACAGCACAAGAATTTACTAGAAAGCCCACCACGGCCAAGGGGGTCGCTAAAACGGCAAAGAGCCTTTCAAAACGAACCCCAAGAGGGGCGCAACAGAGGCACAACGGAGGGAAACCGAAAGGGTCCAGGAACGCTCTCCTCACCCCAAAACATGGCCCCCACGACCCCGACCTCCAGAAACCCCCAACACGCTCCCTGACGGCCCCAAGAAGCCACTGGAACTTTGAAAACGAGAGGCCGCCCCCTACGAGGATCCTGTTGGGCAGTATCGGAAGGCTCTTGGGCAGCCTTGAAGCCCTGGGGCCGTCTCGGAGCCATGTTGGTCCGTAATGGGGCAATATTGGACCATATCGGGCCTGTCTTGGCCACTGTGGGATGCCGTCGGGGTCTCTTGGTGCCCTGGTCTCTGATGTTTTCTTGGGGCCTGCGTCAATTTTTGTTTGGCGCTCGGACGCGTTGGTGACGAGAAATGCATGGACATCGTATTCGGTTCGGGACATCCGACGGGGTCACCACGTATATAGATATATATATATATATATGTATATATAAATGTGTATATATACACATATATATGTATATATGTAATTGTCGGTATAAACACACTGGAGCCACGCGCGCTTCGCGCGCTTATGTTCTAGTAAATTCTAGTTGTAGTATCACTGTTCGGTATTGTGGGACATCGATTGGCGCACGGGTCGTGCCTCTAATGACTTTAGACGATATTCAAGGTAAGGCTGTATAGCGAGCGCTATATCTGACGCCGTCTTGGCTCAAGGCAGCGCTGTCCTATTTGCCAATTGCACGACTGTGTGACTCGATACGCAGATCATAGCAACGGACAGAGGCCTCGTCCTTCTATGATCCATCTCCCGATCCCATGGCTTCTCTCTTAGAACTCGTCTTGCTTACCATTAAGAGATGAGTTGTGGGATACCCCGATACGTCGCCGACGTTACACCTAAGAGTAGGGCTCCCAGCTTATTACCTCATGGCCAAGCCCTGTACCATTACTTTGCACTTGGTACTGGAGCTGGCTGTATATTACTGTGGCTGACTCTTGCATCGAATGTTATGTACATATTCGTTTACCACGGCACAATGGAATACCCAACTGCACCGGCTCTCAACCGTTACACTCCCAATACTCTCATATCCAATAATACGCAAACTAACGTCATCAACTACAACATGACCATGCCCTACGTTAGGGTCGCGATCTTTGGAACGATCCGGGTGTGCCTAGGCCTTGCCGTGGAATGCGTGCGAGAAGGAAGACTGGATGAAACGCGCACTCGGGGTCCCTTCTGGGATCCCGCAGGCGACATAGCGGTTAACGTCGCAAGCGGAAATGTGACTCCACCCTTAACAGGCATCTGCTTTACAGCGCGGCCTAAGGGGATTCGCTAGGACACTAGCCTTGAGGGCGCCGTCCACCATCATCAACCATGGTGTCACACTGCAGGGGAGACGCACCGATGGAGTCATACATCATGTACCTGCTACGCATCAAGTTCGATAACCTTGAGGACGAGCGACAGCTCACCTCAGGGACAGCCCTCATCAACTTCAGAGTCACCAGAGGTGAGCGTATCGGCTCAGTTCTGGCCCGATTCGAAATCGCTGGACTGGAAGCAGACTCAACAAACTTTACATACCTAACTTCTGGATCCGTACCCTGATTTTATTCCGTGCCTTGGGGGTTGGCACCGCCCGAACAGCCCAGCTACTGCAACCGCTGAACCACCAGATGCCTCGTGCTCAACTTCAGCGCGGCCAACTCCTGGAGCGAATGCGCTGCCATGGACACATGGCTGAGCGTTCCCCAGGGAACATCGGGGGCATCTCCAGCGGGCGCCACGCTGGCACTTACCACGCCGAAAGAAGCGACGCACCAGCAGCCATGCCGAGCAGCATCTGTAATGGCGGAGGGCCCACTGGGTCCACGACGCTCCTAGGCCAAGACGCCCGCAGCAACGACGAACAGGCGTCTGGCTCGAACGCGGGCTGACCCTCAGCGGCCAGCTACGCACCATCTGACGCGACACGACTACCCTTTGGGGCTCACCCAGCCGACAAGATTCCGACGTATTCGATTATGGTACGGATGCCGATGTGTTCTCCTCTACCGGCGCCGAAAACCTCGAATTGGTCTGACTTGCGCAATGGCTACACCTAGGATATCACGGCGCCACAAAAGGTGGAGGCGACGCATAAAAAAGATTCGAGCGATCTGTGTATCGCCTCTTATTCCGCAAAGGAAAGGGTCGCGGCAAAGATGGCAAACGTGCCCGCAGATGTCATAGCAAAGGCATGGCCACGTTTTTGGCTCGATTGACCGACTACGACTTTGACGACCTATTCCTAGGAGGTAAAGGTAGAGGCAAAGGTCGCTGGCATGCAACAGGGCAAGGGACGCAAGCTTAATCCAATGGGGAAGGATGGGATACCTGCGGGAGCAACGGACATTCCCGCGCGCAATGTTCCAATGGAGGTGGGAAAGGGGACGGATCAGTACTTCTTGGTTCAGAGCAATCTGAAGCGGCTACCTCAAACCAGCTTTGCTTAGCTTTTGATGACCCACTTTGCGAACGCTACCATGTCGGTAAAGCGCTATACGGAGTACCTAAACGACGAGATCGAGGAGCTCTACGACACCCCCATCGAGGACTGGGTCGGCACGCGTTGGATCGGACACGCGCAGGAAGATTCCGACGACGACGATGATGACGACGACTGCGCGTCCGACGCGGAGACTATAATTACCTGCCACCGACGCAGAAAAAATGGAACAGCTCGGACACGAGCAGACATGACTCCACCCGCTCCCAACCCCGACGGCGTTCGGACCCACTGAAGAGAAGCGGGCTGCAGTGGGACGGGGACAGACCCACGCTGACACCTCATGCTGCGGGGCAAGTCTGGAAATGCCCCCAATCGATTCGGCTGGCCCCTGCACGGGCGGCAAAGGGAGCAGTCGCCACGGCCGCGGCTCAGTGGCCCACCGCGCAGCGGGCATACCAGGCAAATCTTGGAAAAATCAAACCCGGACACGGGCGGCCCCGGTCGCGGCCGCCCTCGGCGGGAAACGGGGGTCGTCGCGCTGCGCGTCGCCGCGGCGATCCGCGCTGCGGCGACGGCACCCGCCGTGGCGATCAAACTCGCGTTGCTGGCGCCCTTAATTCTGACCCCTGGCGTCCGTCGAAATCGAATTGTTGCGTTCGGTCGCGCTGCTCGGCGTCGGGCCGTTCGCGCCCGTGTCGCTGCCCTGCGTCGCTGCCATGGCGCCCGATGGGCCGCCCGCATCTGCGCGGCCGCGCCATGCGCCGCTCGCCTAAAATATGCCCATGGGAGCTATGCCGGCTGATCAGCGCCGCGTCGCCTGCACCCGCCACGGCGCTGGCCCATGGATATCCGCTGCGCCCGTGGCGCCGCCCGGCGTCGCACTGGGGTCGCGCGTCGCGCGCCCCTCCGGCGCCCGCCGAATGGCTCGGCGCCGCGTCGGCGGCGCCAGTTGCGACTCTGGCCATATAACGACATGGCTCGAAGCAAACTGGCGACGGAGGATGGGCGAACGGGCGGCAGGCGGGGCGCGAGGAACGCGAAGGGGCGGAAAAACGGCGGCAACGTCGGCAACGCCCGCGCCGCCGCTGTCGTCGCCGCGCGCGCCCGCGGCTGACGTCGCGCAACCGCCAGCGGCGTCCTTGACGGGGGGCCGCAAAGAACCGGGAACAATCGCGCGGCGGAAGCAGGGGGGAAGCAGGGCCGAGAAAGAGAGACGGGGAGGAGGAGGGGGGAAACAACGAGGCCAAGCGAAACGAACGAGGGGGAGGGAGGCGCGAGGTGGGAGGGGGCGGCGGGGAGCCCGCCGCCATGTCAAGGCAAGGGGGGGGGCCGTAACGCGTGCCTCGTCCGCCCTGCATGTTTATGCGGCATGCACCGCGGCCCTCCAGTAGCCGCAACGTACTGCTGTGGTTTTTTGTGCGGCATGCGCTGCGGCTCCCGATCGGGTTTTCTCGATGAGTGGGGCGGCCCGCGGGCGCGCCGGCGCCCCCCTTGGGGGCCCCGGGGTGGCCTCCCATCGGATCTCGAAGGCCCATGAAAGCCGGCGCGACCTGCGCTGCCATAAGCTGCGCCCCACCCCGCAGGCGGCCCGAAATGGAGGGGCGCGGTGGAGGAGGAGGGCGA